GTTTATGTAATTTTTCCAAACAAAAATATATGTATTTATACAATTTTTCTCTACATTATACAATTAAAAACAATTTTTATACACTTGTGTTTGTATAAAAAGTGAGGAAGCGAGCGAGAGATTGGAGAAGAGTGACGAGCGAGATATTTGGGAGAGAGGCGCCTGACAATTTTTTGCAAATGTTTGTTATGGAGCACAATTAAATCAAATTCTAACTATTCCATTTATTTTAGGTTATTAATTTGCTATTATATACAATTTTCTCTTATTTAATTAATCATTATGCCACGTCATCGCAAGTGTATCACACTCTTCACATTTTTTGTTGATTATCAAAAATATTTAATAGAAACGATTATTATATAGATAAAAATATTCCATTGGTACTAGTATTAGTAAAAGTGTCTAAGTGAATTATACGAACAACTTTAAGAGAGCGCTGATGACTTAAATCAATTCTTAATTATTTATAGAAAAAGTGATTCATCTTGTATTCCACATAATTGAAATAGTTTTTACTAGTTTTACTGTTTAGAACAAGTGTTTAAGAGAGCGCTGATGACTTAAATCAATTCTTAATTATTTATAGAAAAAGTGATTCATCTTGTATTCCACATAATTGAAATAGTTTTTACTAGTTTTACTGTTTAGAACAAGTGATTCTATGATAAAATAGATCACTTTACTCTTATATATTAAAGGCACTTTTGATGATTTATTTATTTATTTATATATCAATGTGATAATTAAAGGCAAAAAAAATAAATGAAAATCCGACCAACAAACAACCTTCGTCCAGAATGGTGTTGTCCTCTAGCAGATTAAAGGTTATGGAAATTACGTTTTACAAATTTTTCTCATGTTTGGTTAACTTTAATATTTTTAAATCAATGTCTTAAATTGATGAAAGTTTTTATCCCGGTTCATATATCGAAATTAAGATCGCATTGTAATTTTAATGTCAAATCCAAGTCATGTCCAAGCTTTCTAATGTATTTTTCATTTACAAATCAAGAAACTAACTTATTTTTAATAAAAAAGATTTTTCTTTTATACCAAACACACGTTAATACGCAACATGCATTTTATATGGGATATACATGTAACATATGTTACTGATTTAATTTTATACCCGTCTAATATTAAAAAACATATATAAGCTGATGCAATATTTGTGTATTTAATATGCATATTATAAATGATGCAAATGAACAATGAAAAAAGAGGATCACTACAAATAAAGCTGGTAATCTGCAGTGTCTACAATTGAAAAATGGAGAATTTGGGAGATGATGTTTTAGCTTCGATAATGATTAGGGTTCATGACTCTGCCAGTAGAAGATCCATTTCTCAAGTTTGTAAGCAGTGGCTCAGAATTGAAGGCTTAACTCGATCATCTGTACGTGTTTTTGATCCCAATCTTTTGCTTAATTTCCTTCCAAGATTCCCAAATTTGCAAAAATTTGATACATCTGAAAAAATCACGAATGCCCATCTTGAAATTTTGGCTGAAAAATGTCCCAGGATCCAAATTCTTAACCTTAATTTCAAGAAAAAAAACAGATTTTACGATGAAAGGGATGAAAGTCTAGCCTTGGATGATTTTGATGAAAATGGTCTGTGTTTCATTGCAATGGGTTGTTCTCATCTCAATACGGTGTCTTTGAGAAAGAGAAGTGGAGTTGGGAATGCTGGGGTTGTTTCTCTTGTTAGCTTTTTGCCTAAGTTGATAGATTTAGACTTGAGTTTTTGTGACAAGGTTAGTGATGAAGCACTTAGAGTTATTGGAAGTGTCAGCTCTTTGAAGAACTTGAATCTACATGGGTGTTGGTTGATATCTGATGCAGGTTTGAAATCATTAGCAGGAGGACCTCTTAGGATGACCTTAAAGAAACTAATTCTTGCTGAATGTGATAGGATTACAGACTGTGGGGTGTTGAGTTTGATGCAATTATGTTGCTTGGAGGAATTGGATTTGGCAGAATGTGGACCGAATGTGACTGATTTAGCTGGTGAGGCTATTGCGTCAAGTGAGAGTTTAAAGAGGTTGAACTTGTCATGGCTTGTTAATGTGTCTGATGCTACTGTTATTGCTCTAGCTGAAGGTTGCAAGAATCTGGACGCTCTTAATTTAACTGGCTGTGAATTTGTCACTGGTGAAGGCGTCCGTACTTTGACAAAGCATGGGTCATTGAAAGAGCTCATTTTGACTAGTTGTGAAAAGCTTAGTGGATATGATTTGGAAGAGTTAGTACTAGGATGTCAAACATTAGAATACATTGTGGTTGACAGAAGATTAAGGATGTGGGTACCTATGGAAGTGCAGGATAATATCATGAGAGAACACTGTTGGATAGATTGGAAATAACGGGTGAAAGGGGAGTTGAATGTCTCGTTTCGGATGGATTAATATGTTTTCAGTGTTCTCTCGTTTATGGATACCCGTGGTCTTTCTTTCACAGTTCCCCATCATTACCTCAGGTGCATGTCCTGTCTAGCTCCCATTATTTATTGTTGAAGTAGTTGTATTAGTAAAACAAATGTCCAGGGTACTTTTTAATTAACTTTGCTACTCTGCTATTGTCATGGCCCATGGGATGCTTAACCTTGTGCATAGACATTGCAATTTTGATCTTGATATAGCCAAAATTTGAGAAAGGGTAATCCAAGAATTGCTTCCTTAAATGGAACTAAGCAAAAAAATGAACGGAAGTTTCCAAGCTTTATTGAAAGTAAGACCACTTCTAATCTGTGGCCTGCTTCAGTTTTATAAGTTAACCTGTTGTACACTGAATAAATGTAATTCTTCTCTAGAAAAGGAAATAATTTATACCATTGGCTTGCGGTATCATGAACTATGTTCTGGTATAGCTTTCTTGTAATGCTTGACATGATCAGGATATTTCTGTAATTCTTGAAAAGCTGGTTAAACTCAGGTAGGAATATTGAGCTTGCATTTTGGGCTGTTAATAGAAACATATCTTGGAACCTCGTTCCTGAGAAAATTGAGCTTGCATTTAGGGCTGTTAATGTTTATGTTTTGATTGGTTTTTGATTTACTCCATTTTACATGTCCTAACATCCTCAGAAGCAATATATACTTTTAAATAGGATGGTCAAAGGGGCAAGCCATTGAAGAGTAGATGGATGTCTAAGCAAAGAAAATTTAAGACTGGCAATTACACCACACCACATATAGACAATTAGACGTGTTGGGTTCGGGCATATTTTTCAAGAATAAAATTTGTAACTGTTGTAATGCATGTGAAATAAGTAGAATAAAATCAAACTAATGATTAAAAGGTAATATTTGTAAATATTAATGAAAAACTAATACTCTTATCATATATTCAAATAGTTTGAAAAATTATGAATAGAATTTATCAGTTCAGTCATTTTTTTCAGTAAAGTTTAGTAAAACCATAACAAAACCAAATGTAGTAGGTAAATTAAAGCTTAAAACCAAAGCAAACCAACTGCTGGTTTTCTTAATCGGACTGGTTTGGTTTGGTTTGGTTTTTCATTAAACCGTGAACACCTGTTGCATTGATGCACTTTTGAGCTCATTTTCCATGTGCATAAGCTTCGTCTGGTCTGGTACATGCTCATGAGTGGTTCTTTTCTCTACTTTCTTAGTCAGCTCATGGATATGTATCTTTGTGTCCATTTTAGACCTAACTGTGTCCTCTCGTACTACTGCAAAGAGGTTTTAGTTGAGGATATGGTGAATGTAATGTATTAACGTATGAAATGATAGGCTCTGTCAAAATGAGATATACCAAACTGATGCATCTAAAGGCATGAAATATTGTTAGGTTATGTGAAAACTTGTCCAAAATGTGATTGCCCCTTTTTTTCATTTTCCTTTCTCGATATTCACTACCTGCTGATTTGAGTAAGATGTACCAGTAATATTTCTGTATCTTTTTCCAAGCTTTGGAAACTATTATGTTTTTGAGTCTGTTAAATCTGTTTCCTTTTCCATAGAGAAATAGGTCAGGGCTTTTATTCGCCAAGGTCAGTCCGCCATGTATGATCCACAGTTCTGCCGTGAGGCATGACGTTGTTACCATACCTAATCACCCCACGAATCTTATCGTCTCTTGCAATGCCTGTGTTGATCTTAATGTATCCGGACGGAGGGAATGGCCTACTAATGTAGCTAGGTGCATCTCTCTGTCTAACTATGATTGAACATGATCATGAGTATAAGATCCATATCAAAAAAATTTTGCAAGGTTGAACACGATGAACATGAGTTGCGTATTCAAAAAAGGGGAAAATGGACATAGTGCCAATTGTTGGCAGTAGGAACATATATTGCCATTTTTGAGCTAAAGAGAAAAGGAAAAAAAAAGTATGTAGAAGTAAGAACACTTTTGCCTTTTACATATTAGAAACTTAACGATAGAGTACACATTTTTAGGTATTTTATTTGACCTAATTCTAAACCTAGTAGAAATATGATTATTATTTCTTTTTGGTAATTTCTAAATTTAGGGTTAGATTCCTATAGGACGTATGTATGGTAATTGGTAATGTCATTATTTTATCTTTCTATTTTTGTTAGAGTGCACTAATGTTTTTGATATATAGCAGATTTATCGTGTGTTGATGCCAACGGGCTATATCAATCGTCAAAGTAGCACCAATTTAATGGTTAACATATCTTAAGTGTTCATGTCCAGAGTATAACATGATTGAAAAAAATAGAAAACTAACAATCAATCTGAAACAAGGTAGTGAATTCACAAAGGTGTTGGCTGAAGATATCGTCAAAATTCAAATATAATAAAATATTACCAAACAAAGATAAATATACTGTTTTAGCAAAATTCAAATATGATGGAATATTACCGAAAAAATAGAAATGGAGATGCGGGGCATCGATCCCCGTACCTCTCGCATGCTAAGCGAGCGCTCTACCATCTGAGCTACATCCCCTTCATGCTGCAAGTAAGCAAGTAACGTTTATTTAACTAAACATCTTGAGGTCTTAGTTAATCGAGGTTAAATTATCTCTTATGAATTTGTATTTAATTTTGCACGCTTTTAACGTAACTAACATAAAAATTTGCACACCATTCACAAAGTTGCTAGCTGCGCCATTACTACTCGATCATCCATTGACTCAAATACGAACTTTGTATATTTGTATGGTAAATAAGTATCTATTAAATAAAAAGATTGATAGATATTTTTGCTTTGACGTAAAATATTAAGATACATAATATCTTTATAGATATATATTCACAATCTTTTAATTCTGAATCGATCATTAATGGTGACCAATTTTTTGTCCTTTGGTTTTGTTTGGATAGTTACTTCACTAGTGGAATAATAATTTATAAATTTAAACTTAATGGAGAAATGATAGGTGTGTAGTGTTTTATGGTTGTGACTAATTGCAGTTGGAATCCACTCAATTTTGAATACAAAAAGCTACTTTTAAAAGAAATAGGTAAAATGAAATAAGAAAAAAATAAATATATTGTTAATACTGCACTTGATAATATATTTTGGCATTTTTATAACATGTTATAGAAATATTTAACTATATATGCAAATTTTTTATATTCAAATTTCAAATTAATTTAGTATTAAGATATAAATTATTTGCATCTTATATTTACATCAAAACTGATTGACTATAATTAAGAGCTAGAAACCTTTACTGAATAAGAAATGCTAAAGACAAAATTCCATCCAATATTAAAATTATATTTAATTTGACACGAAATTTTTGAAAAAGTGAATCTTTCATTATATGTGACTCAGGTTAGAGTTAAGTGTGGCAGCGGAAGTGGTACCTACCGGATTCCGGTCCGGTCTGGTTCGGTACCGGTTTGGTAGCGGTTAGTACCGATTAGGATCAGGATTTTCCGGTTTCGGAACAGGTACCGGGACGGAATTCGGTAAGTTTCGGAATTTACCGGTTCCGGTAATTACCGGTCCGGTCCGATTAAATTTTTTTTTAAAAAAATATAGCCGTTACTAGCCGTTGGGTAACGGCTAGTGGCCCCCCCAACGTTTGAATAGAAATTCATCCAATAGGGCCCTATCCCACTCCTAACTTTTTTAATACCCTAAAGTTTTAAAAAGTACACTTTAACCCATTTTTTACTTATAAATACCCCTAAATTTCATTCTTTTAAATCACAATATCATCTATTCATCTTCTACTCTCTCAACTCTCTACTCTCTATCTCTAATCTCTAATTCTATAATATATAATATCTTAAATTCTGGTGTTGCCTTACTTGGTCTTTGGAAATTAGATTTGGAGCTTCAAAATTCAATTTTCAACTTTTCACGTTCGGCGGTCATAAACGTCTACTTTTTTAAGTAGACGTTCGGTACATTTGTTCTAACTTTTATTTTACGTTTCATTTATATTTAAATAATTATTTATTTATTTGTGATTTATTATTTGCATAATTGCATAACATTTTTCATATTATATTTAATCTCACGTTTAATTTTTTAATATGGATTTCGGCAAAAATATTGTTCAAAAAGGAAAGGGGAAAAAAAGTGCATTAGAGCGTGTAAGAAATATTTGTAACTTTACATCCTCCGATAATGCAAAAACCGGTAGTTCTTCTAAATCAAAAACTAAAAAATCTACTATATTAAGAATAAATACGGATGATTATACACATGTTGATGATAAGGTTTTTAATATTGATAGTAATTCAGGATTAGATCCTTATCATGAACATTTACAACGTCGCCTTGGTAATTTTGATGAGGATTTGCCTAGTGATAATGATAATGATAATGATATTGATAATTATACTGATACGCCTACTTTTGATGATGATGATGATGAAACTGAGCCACCTGCGGCTACTAATACTCCCAGTCCCGCTCCCTTTCGTTGTTCTGCCCCAGTTCCCTCAGTACATCCTAGGCCTAAGGTACAACGTGTTAAAAAATCGATTGTTTGGCAATTTATGACACAAAACGAAGATAAAACACAAGTTATTTGTAATAAATGTAAACGTATATTAAATCATAAAACTGTTGGCAAATCTGGCGGGACGGGACATTTGAATAGTCATATAATGTTTTGTTGTAAAAATGAATTTTTGCATGCTAAAGCGGTAGCGGAAGCTAAAAAAAAACGGTACCCCCCTTCCTGAAAATGTAGGAGTAGGCGGCTCTAAAATGGTACAAACACAATTAAATCCGTCTAATGTTTCTGGCTCTAGTTCACTACCTTCATATAGTAGAGAAAAAGATCTTGAAGAACTAGCTAAAATGATATGTGTTATGGGTTTGCCATTTAGTTTTGCTGAAAATCTCGGTTTTATACATTATATTCAAATTGTATATAATCCAAATTTTAAAGGTTTTGCTAGAAATACAATAAAAAAGGCTATATTTATTATCATGCACAACATTTTCAATATCTTCGTTGTTTATTTTATTATAATACTTGTAAAATAACTATTACTTCTGATATGGGTCGTAGTGTGTATGGTAACGATTATTTGACTGTTACTGCACATTGGATTGATGAAAATTGGTATATGCAAAAAAAAATTAGGTTATAAATGTTGTCAAATGCAAAAAATCGGTAGTTATATTACT